TTCTCATATTCAGCATGTATAAGTTGGTTTGTCATGCATGAAACTAGTACATATGGATAGATTACATTTTTCTGATAATTTTTCATATATGAATTATTTCAATCTGAGCTACGGTTGAATTTCTATGAATTTTTGAAGTTTAAATCAATTTCTGGAATTTCCTGATTTAATTTAAATCCAGAAATCATATTATTGCGCCAGCATGACGTCAGCACGACGTCAGCAGGTCAACCGGGGCTGACCAGGGTCAAACCTGACGTGTGGGGTCCACACGTCAGTGACACTGGGGTTAACCCCGAGTCAAACCTAGGCTGATTAGCTTTGACTAAGCCCTGGGGCCCACTGGTCAGTGTCAGGGGGGGTTAAGTAAGTGGTGATTAGCACTAAGCTAATCACGCGCCACGTCAGTCGCCGGAGTTTCGCCGGCGACGACCTCGAGCCACGGCGGAAGTTCGCCGGAACGAGCTGGAGGCCACGGTTTGGCACACGGAGGCCACCGGTGGGTAGCCCGTGCACGGGCGCATCCAGCCGCGCTCAGGGAAGGCCGTGGGAACGGCGGAGCTCGCCGGAGCAGAGCTCGCGGCGGCGGCCGGAGCTCGGTTGATGCGGGTTAGGCGACACAGGGCACTAGAGAGGCTGCGAGCGGGTCCGCGCGACTCGCCAGTGTGCACTGAGTGCAACGGCGAGCTTGGCTGCGGCCTGCGGCGGCTGTGGCCACGACGGCGAGGAGCTGCGGCGGCGATGGCTTCGGCCATGGTGGGGAACGGGGCTACGACGCGGGAACGAAGGGAAGAAGAGAGGGGAAACGGGAAGAAGCTCACGGTGGATCCAGCGAAGGCGTCAGCGGGCTCGGGGAAGCACTGGTGCGGCCGGAGCGTCGTCGGCGATCTCGGGTAGCCGGCGATGAAGACGACGAGGGTGGCGACGATGGAGGCCGTCCGGAGGTGCGTGGCTCGACGAGGAGGTGGAGGGGGTCGTGGCGGAGCTCGTGGACTCTACGGAGGGGCGAGGGGACGGCGGGGAGCGCGTCGGTGGTGAGCTGCGACGGCGGCAGTGCTTCGGGTGCGGGGAGAGGGAGTTGTCCAGGGGAAGAGGGAGAGCGAGAGAGAGTGGAAGAGGACCGGGGCGGCGCGTGGCGACGTTCCAGGGCGTCCAGGGCGACGAGAAGGGCGCCAGGCAAGCAGGGAGGCTGGTGGCGTGGCGCGGTGGCGCGCGCGCGCGCCCGGCACGCTCCCCTCCCTTTGTCGAGGACGAAGACGACAGAGGAGGCCAGTGGGCTGGGCCGGCGCTGGCTGCTGGGCCGGCCAGGCCGCACAGGAGCTGGGCCGCAGGTAAGTTTCTCCTCTTTATTTCTGTTTTCTATTTTTCTGACATTTGTTTTGATTTAATTAAAATATTAAATCATTTTATTACCTTATGCCAATTTTTGCAGGAGCTAGCTATATTATTCCAGAGCTCCCCAACAGGTGGCATAATTTTTGGACATATATTAATATATATAACTAATATATTTCCAATGCAAATATTTATGCATTAATTTCAAATGCCCAAAATAAATACCTATGAGCTCTTAAAAATATTGGTTTGATTTTTATCTCTGTCCAATATTTTCAGAGAGCAACATGAGCATTTTCTTGGACCCTTTTGGAGAAATTTTTATTTGGGTCATTTTCAAAAATGATTCTGAGGGTTCCACAAATCCCCATTTCAATATTAAATGGAATTTAAACATGATGCACAAATGACTAGCTAGTCTAGGTCATACCAGACTAGGGATGTGACAACTCACCCCCACTTGAAAGAATCTCGCCCCGAGATTCAGGGGTCGACGGAAAGAAAACGGGGTACTCCAGTCGAAGACGATCTTCTCGCTCCCAAGTAGCTTCTCTCTCGGAATGATGAGACCACTGAACTTTGAGAAACTTGATGTTCTGACGTCGAGTGACACGCTCTGCTTGATCAAGAATGCGAACCGGGTACTCTCGGTATGTGAGGTTATCTTGGAGATCAAGCATTTCGTGGTCCACTCCGCGGATGGGATCTGAGAAGCAACGCCTGAGTTGAGAGACGTGGAAGACATCATGAACTCGAGAAAGATATGGGGGTAGTTCCAATTGGTAGGCAACCTCTCCTCGTTTAGCGAGAATGCGAAAAGGACCAATGTAACGAGGAGCCAACTTGCCCTTGATACCGAAACGATGGGTACCCTTCATGGGAGTAACCCGAAGGTAAGCTTTTTCGCCAACTTCATAAGTCATATCCTTATGATGACGATCATACTGACTCTTTTGACGAGATTGGGCTATTTTCAAATTCTCACGAATGATGCGAAATTGCTCTTCTGCCTCCTGGATCATGTCCGGTCCAAAGAATTGTCTTTCACCGGTTTCTGACCAGTTCAAAGGTGTTCGACATCTTCGTCCATAGAGAACCTCAAAAGGAGCTTTCTTGAGGCTGGATTGATAGCTATTGTTATAAGCAAACTCGGCAAAAGGAAGACATTTCTCCCAATCCATACCAAATGAGATAACGCAAGCTCTAAGCATGTCTTCGAGAATTTGATTGACCCGTTCCACCTAACCACTCGACTGAGGGTGGAAAGCGGTACTGAAGGAAAGATGGGTTCCCATGGCAGTTTGGAAACTCTCCCAGAAATGGGAAGTGAAAAGACTGCCGCGGTCTAAATTGATCTCTAGTGGAACACCATGGAGTGATACTATTCGAGAAATGTATAAGTCAGCAAGCTGACTAGCAGTGATACTCTCTCGAACAGGAAGGAAGTGAGCCACTTTGGAAAGACGATCAACGACTACGAAGATAGCGTTATTCCCTTTCTTGGTCCTGGGAAAATCGGTGATGAAGTCCATACCAACTTTATCCCACTTCCATTCAGGAATAGCTAAAGGCTGAAGGGTGCCAGCAGGTCTTTGATGCTCTGCCTTAACGCGACGACAAACGTCACAGTAAGCAATAAACTGAGCGATTTCTCTCTTCATCCTAGTCCACCAGAACCTCTGGCGTAGGTCCTGATACATCTTAGTACTACCGGGATGAATCGTGAGAGGAGATTCATGCGCCTCCTTAAGAATCAATTGTCGCAGATGTTGATTCTTGGGAACCACCAAGCGATTCTCAAAGAAAACAACACCACGACCATCCATAGAGAAACATCCACCAACTCCCTTCTTAATGTTTCTCTTGATCCGGGAAATTCCTGTGTCTTGCTTTTGAGTTGCGATAATCTGATCCTTAAGATCAGGTTTCGCCACCAGGGTAGAAAGGAATCCGTGAGGAGCAATGTGAAGATTAAGCTTACAGAATTCCTCATGGAGAAGTGGTTGGCCTTGCTGCAACATGAGTTTGTTGCAATAGGATTTACGGCTTAGAGCATCAGCCATGACATTGGCTTTGCCTGGGGTGTAGGTAATCCCTATGAGCTCTTAAAAATATTGGTTTGATTTTTATCTCTGTCCAATATTTTCAGAGAGCAATATGAGCATTTTCTTGGACCCTTTTGGAGAAATTTTTATTTGGGTCATTTTCAAAAATGATTCTGAGGGTTCCACAAATCCCCATTTCAATATTAAATGGAATTTAAACATGATGCACAAATGACTAGCTAGTCTAGGTCATACCAGACTAGGGATGTGACAGCAACATTCAAATCCGTATGTATCTTGCAAATCTCTATGTCTTCCTCCTTGACTTGATCGCGGATGGAATTGAAAAGTCTCTTGATGTGCTTGGTTCTTTTGTGAAATATGGATTCCTTTGCCAAGGAAATTGCACCAGTATTGTTACAAAAGATTTTCATTGGACCCGATGCACTAGGTATGACACATAGATCGGATATGAACTTTTTCATCCACACTCCTTCATTTGCTGCTTCCAAAGCAGCTATGTATTCCGCTTCACACGTGGATCCCGTCATGATGCTTTGCTTAGAACTGCACCAATTGACAGCTCCACCATTCAATAAAAATACGTATCCGGTTTGCGACTTAGAGTCATCCGGACCAGTGTCAAAACTTGCATCGACGTAACTGTTTACGACGAGCTCTTTGTCACCTCCATAAATAAAAAACATATCCTTAGTCCTTTTCAAGTATTTCAGGATGTTCTTGACCACTGTTCAGTGATCCACTCCTGGATTACTTTGGTGCCTTTCTGCTAAACTAATAGCAAGGCACACATCAGGTCTGGTACACAACATTGCATGCATGATATACCTATGGCCGAAGCATAGGGAATGACTTTCATTTTCCCTCTATCTTCTGCAGTGGTCGGGCATTGAGTCTGACTCAACTTCACACCTTATAACACATGCAAGAACACTTTCTTTGCTTGATCCATTTTAAACTTCTTCAAAACTTTATCAAGGTATGTTCTTTGTGGAAGTCCAATTAAGCGTCTTGATCTATCTCTATAGATCTTGATGCCCAATATATAAGCAGCTTCACCGAGGCCTTTCATTGAAAAATTCTTATTCAAGTATTTTTTTATGGTATTCAGAAATTCAGTATCATTTCCAATCAATAATATGTCATCCACATATAATATCAGAAATGCTACAGGAGGGAGGTGTTTAGAGTAACATAATATGTTACTGTAACATAGCGCTTCCCGAAAAAGAATGAGCATACAACCTAATAAATGAACCAATCTATGACACTATTATTATGTTACTTTGCACTATAAAGATAGTAACTTATACTAGTGTCATGCATATGATACTAGTCTAAGTTACTCCTCACTATGACCAACCTTATTGTTTGTAGAACATATTTATTGTTTGATGTTCCGTGAGCGGCCGAAGAAGCGCCAGCGCTCTCCACAGGCCCAGTCCCCACTCTCTCCCTCCTGACCCCCTCAGCTCAGCCCCCCTCTCTCCTCGAGATCTCCCACGGGCCAAGGCCAGGAGCCAACAAACGCAAGGCCACCGCCGCCTCTGCGCCTACGCAGTCGCCGTTCTGCGATCTTGCCCGCCGCCGCCCGGAGATATGGCGAAGGCGTTTTACGCGGTAGGTTTCTGGATCCGGGAGACCGGTCAGGCCCTCGACCGCCTCGGCTGTCGCCTCCAGGGGAACTACTTCTTCCACGAGCAGAGTAAGCATAAACACCTTCCCTCGCCCCTAATAATCCTACCTTTCGCCCCTCCCTCGCCGATTTCTGCAGATACTTCGGGCATCGCGTGGATTCGGTCTTCTCTGGCGGTCCCAAATGAGTGAGCATTTCGGGATTGCCGCCTAGGGTTAGGGACGGTTCAGGAAATATTACGGTCATGTGTGCCCCATTAGGTTGGGGTTGGTCTAGGGTTATCTATTCTTAGGTCATCGTGCATTCGTCGTTAATTCACATGCTAAGATTCGAATTCAAATTGAGGTGTCTTTCTACGCAGGTTGCTTCATAGTGTGCTAAAATTATGGAGGTGGACAGTTGTATGGATTATGGATCATTCTTTGGTAGAACTTGCTACTTACCCAATTGTTTATACCAATGGGATATTAACTGAAAGTCCTGAATATGTCAAATTGCTATCCGCAATATCTATTATCGTTAGGTATTTGCCATGATATTGGGATGCTATACGAATAGCTGTAGTTCTGTTAAACATTCTTGAGCTCCTTTCTGCCCCCTTTATCGTTCTAGGCCTTTTTATTTACCATACCAGGTGAGCTGAAACTCGAGGAATTCCTGTCCAAGACGGGGGTTGTGGTTGGAGTTTAATAATGTTTTTGATAATTTGTTTGTTTCAAATAACTTATATCGTTATTGGTAAGATTTACCTTTATCTTTACAGATAGTCGGTCATGGCTTTTGAGATTTTACACGATGTCAACTAAAATTTTAGAAGTTCTAGAGCTGTCGATGATGGTTTCCTCCGACGAGTTGATGCTCACTAAGATGCTTGAAGATAATTTAATAGCTCCAGTTCTGTTATCATCGCCATGGACCATCCTACTCCATTTATTGTTTGAGGTTTTACTCATTCTGTTGCAAAATGTAGGGCGTGTTTTTATCGGTTTAAGACAAGACTTTGGCCACAACAGTCACTCCATAAGTATGCAATGTTATATGATTTTTTGTACTCAAAATTATTTCCTTATAATTGTGATTTTGAATAACACAACCAAATTTTAACATACTAATTGTTCGTCAAAAGCCCCCTAGGTAGCTGGTGCTGCAGCTTGCTTGTTAGAATTATCTCTTGTCGCGATTGACTATTGCCCCGACCAGGGATCGCCATTTACATCTGTCTTTGATTCAAATACTCCCTCCGTTCCTAAATATTTGTCTTTTTAGAGATTTCAAATGGACTACCACATACGGATGTATATAGACATATTTTAGAGTGTAGATTCACTCATTTTGCTCCGTATGTAGTCACTTGTTCAAATATCTAGAAAGACAAATATTTAGGAACGGAGGGAGTAGAAATTAACACTGGTAGTTTGCTTTCAAAAGACTCTTAATCTCCTGAATCTACAATACTCTAGTATGCAAGCAATTGTACCCTTAAATTATTAACTCTTTGAGTAAATTGCACAATAAACGTAGCATTTAAGTTTTCCTTCCGCATGACACAATATCTTTGGCAATCTAGTATTGGATCTGACTTGCTTACAGCCCCCACTCGCAGCCATGTCTCAAAATGCTGGCTGGCCGTGGACTGTGGTGGTATCTGATGTGCCTCGTTGGAGTAGTCTCTCTGTTGCACAGCAGACCCCAAGACACACTGTTCAATCTTAGCCTCTCAGGCTGCGCCAATCTCCCATGTCAACACTGTTGCCACCGTATCAGCCCAGAATCGTGCCTGTAGCTAGTTCTGCTCTGTCAGTAAGCTGGCCTACGCAGACAGTTTGTTTAGGTGATATAAAGCGCTTTCCTTTGGCAGAGGATTGGCTGATTGTGGATGTATTTCTTAGAGGTTTTGTTTTATACAAATGAGTTCGGTATACATGGTGAATTGTGCAATTTGCTCCAGTACTGTACCCGCTGCTCCCGAGAGTGACACAAATATGACTGGACACTTTTTGGTTCTGCACATTTCTCCCTAATCGATCTCATTATCCTTGGATGTGCATATGTTGTGTTCACCCCTTGCTTGTATATCTGATGTTATTTTTGCTGTTTTCTGCTGGATTGTTTTTATATATTTGTAGGCTTAGTAATTCCGTGTTAGCATTTTGATTGTGCATCTCCTGAATGATATCTAAGTATGTCACATTTCAGTAAAAAAGGCATTGACATTTCACTTACATCGACTATCTTCTTTGAGCACTTAATCTCTGATCAAGCTCATGAATTTGTGTTTCCTCTTCATGTCACACTCTGGATAAAATTATCCATCTGTAAGTTTTTTCTTCATCTGCATATTAGCTTTCTGTGGCTGTGAAGTGGCAGATAACTCGGAGACACTTTTTGATTACCTGATCTTCTGCATCTTTATCTTCAGGATGCTGCTTATGTTCTGCACTGCATCTAATTATTATGGCCATGTTTTATGTTGACATATGTTATAATTCTTTGTGCTGTTGTGAGCAACTACACCTATAAAAGTGCTAACATGATTTTGTTTTGGACCTTTCCAGTTTCAAGGCATCGCACACTTATGAACATCTTTGACAAAGCCCCTCATGTTCACAAAGAGGCATTTGTCGCTCCAAGTGCATCCCTTATTGGCGATGTTGAAGTTGGGCAAGGGTCTTCAATTTGGTACGGATGCGTCTTAAGAGGTTTGTGCTCAGTGTTCCAGTGAGCATCATTTTGATCTTCTTTGCTAAATTAATGGGTGCTTCTAAATTGTGCCTGTATTCAGATTTGACTGTACCAAAATGTGTGATAGTAATCACCCCGTTGTGCTGCGTTTCTTTTCCAATAGTCTTCCGGCTCTTATCTTATGCAATTTACTTTCTAGTTCTGGTTCTATATTATTCTTGGCTAGCATATCTTTCGTTATTTGTCATTTCTATACATAAATAAATACATCATCCAAGACAAATAAGCAACAGTTCTGTGGCTAAATGCACCATGCATATCCATTTGCATTGTCTTGTTGCAGATAATGTTGAGAAGGGTGAGTTCAGTGTACATTAGTTGTAGCCTTGTAGGTGCGGTGGGCGTGCACAGTCCATGGTTTATTATTCCCTTAAATATGCAGTTGAATTTAACAAAATACCCAGCAGTATGAAGATTTGAAGAGATAGACCCCATGGATTTTAGTAACTAGATATTAGACAGAGGATTGATTCGTAGCTCCACCAGTGGGTGATCATGATCATGTCTTTCCATCTCCATGTTTTTTTTTGCCTTGCCACCTTATGCAAACGTTGACGCCTGAGTGCAGCTAGTTTTTCTTTCACTAGATCTATTTGATCCATGCTGGAATTTCTCAGTATACAAATAATTTAAATTCCCAACTTTAAGATTTGCCGTTTACTGAAAATTGCAAAAAAGGGAAACTACAAGGAGGATACGGTATGATGGCCCACCTGTCATTTGCAGTAAAACGCAGATGATCTGTTGCTGTGTTGTATTGTAAACAAGAATATCGTTTGAAGAAAAAGGAAAGAGAGGGGCTCTCAGCTTACAATGAAGAGCAAGCAAGAAATGTGATCTTTCTTGTCCCTCGACTCCCTTACAAAAGGCATGATGCAAGTCCAATTTCAGGGGTTTGTTCATTGAACAATCGTAGCAGCACGTTATCCGAGGAGGATAAATAGTGATGCTACTCTTCCTCACCAGTTCTATCAGTCCACTGCCTCTTTCTCTCCCATAACCTACAACTCTGACTGCAGTTTTGATTTTGTTCTTTGTGGTGCCTTGAAGGCGCCGCCATTGTGGTGCCTCACACGAGTTGATGATTCGGCACCGGGTTAGGTCTAGGCATGTTCATGACCCCCAGCGGCGTGCTTTCTTGGTGTTTGTATTTTGTGTGTTTTTCAATGCTTGTCTTCAGTGTGATACTCCATATTTGTGTTCCTTCATGTTGTCATGTTGCTTAGTCTAGGTCTCAAGTCTATCACTTAGGATGGATGGTGTTATATCTCTTGTAACAGATGCCAATATCCTGCAGCAACGGTGACATAATATTATTGTGTGGACACCATCGTTGTCTGTGCCTCACCATCTTTCAGATTTAGCTATTTGTTGAGCTAATGTTTTCATAAGCAGTAGAACTAATGCCATATCAATCCATGATCTTCTATGCTTCGTTATATCTACTTGTTACTACTTTCTCCAGGTTTATTATATAGCCCCCCACGTATTTTGGGTCAAACTTTGACCATATGTTTAACTAATAAAATAGAGATAAGCCCACTTTTCAATCCTCAACTAACCAGATGGTTTAAGGATCAACCCTGAACTCATTAACCGGTTACTGCATGACCTCCAACTTATCCCATCGCCCCCCTTAACCGGGCGAAAACTGTTTTTTTGCTCATGCGGCTGGTATTTACCGAGTCGACCGCCTCATCGGCATTACAATTTGCCATGTCAGCTAGCTCACTAAAGGCACCGAGTCGCGGCGCCTCACTCCCCAACCCTTCACTCTATTACCCCAACGCTAGACGGCAGACTGACGAACGGTGGCGCTACACATCCGATACATGCTACCCTCTCCACCCCCTTGCCACGGCCCCAAACCAAGAGCATGGTGGGGCTTCAACGTCGGTGTTGTCCATGCACGATGTTGAGCCGGTTCATCTCATGGCTGCTCACCCAGTATGCCATGGCGGGGTGCGCGGCGGCCAACGCGAGTCAGAAGAGGACGTCGGCAGCTGTGACTAGAACGGTGGGGAGATGGAGTAGAGCGGGACCAACAACAATGGAGAGTGGGCTTGTGGGGGGTGCTTCCCGCTCACGATTGAGCATTTCAACATGCTAAGAGGGATTAGAGGAAGCTCTTGGAGGAAGGGACCAAGAGGAAGCCCCTCTTGATTTGCGAGGCTGCGGCGGTGTCCTCGGCCGGAGAGGAAGAAGGCTAGCATGGGAGAAATTGCAGCTCGGGGAGCTCGATTGAGAGTGATCGGAGTTCGGTGGCGAAGCGTGGCATGATCGGGTTGGCTTATTTGCAGGCAGTCGTCGGTGCGCCATGGGCGGCACGCATGGTTGCATGTGGTAGGAAGCAGCGATGAGCGTTCTTAGTCTTGTTGTGGCTTAGCGATGGTTCTAGAGGCTTGGTCAAGGCTAGGAAGGCTGTGAGGACCAAGTGGAGCAAGCCAATGCTGCGGGGCTGCAACATTGATGCCGCAATGTCTCACGCAATCGAGTTGTTCGACATGCTCTCCTGAGCTTTGGAGGAGAGAAATGTCGGGGAGAAAGAGGAGCAATGGAGGGGTGTAGTTGCAGGTTCCAGGGGAGGCTGAGGGGCATACATGGCGCATGTGGTGTGCCAGCACCAGTCTTGCCACACCCAAATGCCGGTTTGGCTGGGTGTTAGTGTAACTTCTGATCCGACAGTACTCTTGGTGTTGGTTTTGAAACCCTAACTTGTAAACTCCAGTAGCCAAAGCAACGTACGTGCAAGCTAACCTCACAAGCAGCCAAGCAGGCAGCTTAATTGATAGTAGCTAGCTAGCTCGTACTTGCCGGCGACTTGTATTACACAGGATCGATTCGATCTTTGGCAGGACGTAGCGACTTCTTTCGATAGAACGAACACAAAAACGAATCGATGTGATGGCCACAGGTGCGTGTCGCACCTGTTGAATACTTTGTATTGCTTTTCTCTTCTCTAATTTTCTGGTTACAAGGAGCACCCCTGGGGTGCTTTTTATACACGTCCATAAGGGACTATGGAAATAGACTAGGACTAGGAATCCTAATACTACTAGGACTCGCACTTACTCTTTTTCCTAATCCTACGTGTACTGAGGCAACGTGGTTAACTTCTACATTCACCTCCTTAACCTTGTTGCTTGACTGCATCTCATGTACTCCGACTTTGTTCCTCATCTCGGTGAACTTCTGTCGACCAAGGGACTTCGTGAGAATGTCGGCAAGCTGCTCCTTCGTGTTCACGTGCTGGACTTCGATCATCCCTTCCTCAATGCACTCCCGGATATGGTGGAACCGGGTATCTATGTGCTTGCTCCTCTCGTGATGAACCGGATTTTTGCACAAAGAGATTGCAGCTTGGTTGTCAATCTTCAATGACACCTTCTGCACCTCCCACTTTGCAAGATCAGCTAGGAGTCTTCTCAGCCACACTGCTTGACAAGCCGCTGTGCTTGCCGCTATGTATTCTGCCTCGCATCAAGACAACGCAACCACCTTTTGTTTCTGAGAATTCCAGCTGATAGGATTTGGGCCAAGGTAGAATATCATGCCCGTGGTGCTTTTCCGGTCATCCACATCACTTGCCATGTCACTATCTGAGTATCCATGAAGGATCAACCCTTCCTTTCCCTTTCTGTACGTGCAGCCAAGATTAATAGTGCCTTTCACATAGCGCAAGATTTGCTTGACCGCGCTCATGTGCTCGGTTGTCGGATTCTCCATGAAACGACTCACGATCCCGACTGAATAAGCCAAGTCAGGTCGGGTATGCACCAAATATCTTAGGCTGCCCACAACGCTTCGATACATTGTGGTGTCCACTGGCGGATTTGAGCTACGCTTGCTCAACTTGTGGCGTTGGTCCATTGGAGCTTGTGTCTTGTAGCAATCTGTCATGCCACACTTGTCCAATAACTTGACCGCATAAGCCGATTGACATAGGGAAATCTCCCCGGAGCTTTGCTTCACTTCGATGCCCAAGTAATAGCTGAGTAATCCCAAATCGCTCATGCTAAACTTCTTCTTCTTCATGCCTTGAAACGTTCAATTTCTTGCGCGCTATCTCCGGTGATAATCAGATTGTCGACATAAACTCCAACTAGCAGGTTTGATCCTTTGGAGTTCTTTGTATAGACGGCGTGCTCGAGGGGGCATCTCTTGAACCCGAGCGAGATCAAACTTCGGTCTAACTTTGCGTTCCAAGCTCTTGGGGCTTGCTTCAACCCGTAAAGTGCCTTCTTGAGCTTGTAAACTTTCGCTTCTTCGCCTTTCTTCTCGTAGCCGAGGGGTTGTTCCACGTACACTTCTTCTTTGCTGCCAAAGCTAGGAGCACTCTCACGGTCTCGATTCGAGCAACCGGTGCAAACACCTCCTCATAGTCAACTCCTTGATGTTGTACGTAGCCCTTTGCGACGAGTCTTGCCTTGTACTTTACAATGGCACCCTTCGTGTCCTTCTTTAACTTGTAAACCCACTTCAAACCTATGGCCTTTTGGTTTGGAGGTCGGGTTACCAAAGTCCACGTGCCATTGCTCTCGATCGCCTTCATCTCCTCATCCATGGCGTGCATCCAACTTGAACTTTTGCTCGCCTCTACGAAGTTCGCCGGCTCCTCAACTCCGAGTAAACACAAATCGGAGCACTCGAGCGTAACTGGCTTTGCGTACTTGTAGACTTTCTTGAGGGTCTTGTAGCGATGAGGCCCGGAAGAATCCGTTGTGGCTTGCGAAGGAGGCGACACAAATTGTGTCGGCGTCGATGCACTTGAGGAAGACGGTCGAGTCTCGGGCGTGGTAGATGCCGGGTCGTTGGCATCTGCGTCGTCGGCGTAGTCGTCGTGATCGTGACCATCATCTTGATTGTCATCATCACTATGCGCCTCATTGTCGATGTCGTTGTTGAGATCTCTACCTGTGTCTTGCACATCGTTGTCGCTATCACCTTGCGACCCATGCGCGTTGTCGTTTGGTGTCGGCACCATGATGATCACTACCATTGTGGTCACCTTGGTTGGGCGTCTTGCCAACCACCTGGACGTCCTCCCCTGCATCATCATCCGTTGGAAATTCAACCGTGAATATATTACCATTTGGAGCATTGTTGGCTGTTGCGCTCCAATTCCACGCTTGGTTTTCTTCAAATACGACGTTGCGTGAAATTCGTAGACGCTTGGTTCGTGGATCGTAGAAGCAGTATGCCTTGGTGCCGGAACTTCTCTCTTATCCGATGAACACCATCTTGGTGCTGCGATCGGCAAGCTTTGAGAGATGCGGCTCCGCCGTCTTCACATGCGCCACACACCCGAACGTTCGTAGATGAGACACATTCGGCTTCCATCCGTAAATTGCTTCATACGGAGTCTTGCCGATCACCGCCTTCGTTGGAGCCCGGTTGAGAAGATAGACTGCTGTCGAGACAGCTTCTCCCTAAAATGTCCCCGGCAGATTCTTGCTCTTGAGTAAGCTCCTTGCCATGTCAACGACGGTTCGATTGCGCCTTTCAACAACCCCGTTCTGCTGCGGCGTATAAGGTGCCGTGAGGAACCTCTTTATGCCAATCTTCTCGCAGTAGTCGTTGAACTCGTTCGATGTAAACTCTCCGCCGCGATCTGTCCGTAGAGCGCGAACCTTCAACTTGTGTTCCATCTCCGTTGTAGCCTTTAGCTTCTTGAATGCTTCAAACACCTCATCTTTAGATCGTAGGAGAACGACCCACATATATCTCGAGTAGTCATCTACCACAAGGAAGAAGTACTTCTTTCCTCCATGAGTTGCTGGGGTGATAGGGCCACATAGATCACCATGGAGCAGCTTGAGTGCATGACTTGCATGATAGGTAGACTGAGCAGGGAATGGCCTGCGGTGTTGTTTTCCAACGAAGCACCCATCACATACTCGATCAACATGGTCGATAAACGGCATCCCAGATACCATCTCCATCTTCGACATCTTCTTCAAGGCGTAGAAGTTAACGTGTCCAAATCTAGCATGCCATATCCATGAATCGTCATCACTCTTGGCGAGCCAACACTCTGGTTGAGATTGATCAAGGTTGAGGATATAGAGCCTGTTCCGTGTGCGATTAACACGGGTTAGCACGTTTCGGAGGTTGTCGAAGATCGTCAACACTCCGTTCTCAATATCCACCTTGCATCCATTCTCGTCAAGTTTCCCGACAGAGATGATGTTGTTGCGAAGCCGTGGGATGTAGTACACTCCGGTGAGTATGCGATGTTCTCCTATGAGACCCTCGAAGAGGACAGAACCTTGCCCGCAAATCTCCACATTTGAACCATCACCGAACTTGACCGAGCCTTGAACATCATATTCCAGCTCGAGAAACTTCTCCTTGCACCCCGTCATGTGGTTACTGGCACCTGTGTCTAGATACCACGACATGTTCCGACTCCCGGATAACTTTGGTGTTACCTTTTTCTCATGAAGTAAGCACCTTCCGGTTTGGCTTCGCAACTGCTGTTTGGACGAGATCACAAACTTCGGCCATCAGAAGACCTGGACGTACGTCTTCCTGCTTTGCCAAATTTGCCTTGATCTCCCGCTTGTTAGGCTCCGGACAATCCTTCGCAAAGTGACCCATCTCGTTGCAGTTATAGCACTTGACCTCGGACATATCCAAGTTCCGTGGCTTCCGCTCTTTAGATCGGTCCACCTTACCATGACTTTGTGGCTTGCCTTTTCCTTTGCCTTTTCCGGTTTGTCCGCCGCGCTTCGCGTTGTTTGAGCCTTCACCACCGTCACGCCTTCCTTTGCTACTTGGGGCCTCCCAATCTGCGCGCGAGTACATGAGTTGGTCACCACCTCCTCCTTTGCCTTTCCGACAGCCACGAGCATTCTCTTCCCATGTCCGCAAGCGTCCGATCGCCTTCATTATGGTCATGTCGTTGATGTCGTAAAGCTGCTCGAGCGTGCCGATGATGAACGTGAATTTATCAGTCACCGAACTGAAAAACTTCTCCACAATCTCGGCTTCCTCGAGCTTCGCACCAAGCGCGCAGATCTCTCCCACCAATGTAGTCAGACGCATGGCATAGTCGTTCACCGATTCAGTTTCCTCCATCTGCAACTTGTGAAATTGGCGCTTCATCACTTGTGCCCGAGCCTTCGTGACGCGATCTTCTCCAATCCTCATCTCTTTGAGTGCGTTCCATGCCTCTCTTGCTGTCTCGAACTCCGCCAATGTCATCAGCACGAAATCCGGCACAGACTGGGCTATGGCGGCCATGGCACCTTCGTCGCACTCCTGGTCGAAGTCGTCGTCCGTGATGGCCTCCCACACTCGAAGGGTTCGGAGAATGATCTTCATATTCACCGCCCACACGCCGTAGTTGGCGTCGGTGAGCATCGGGTACTGGATGGGGATATTGCGATGCGCCAGTACGTTGGCGCCGCCCGTTCCGCCACCACTAGTCGCTGACTTGCCGCCCTTCTTCACCTTGTCGCTGTTCTTGTTCGCCTTGGAACCGCCGTTGCCAGACTTGACTGACTCAGCGTCGCTGTCCGTCATCGTAGATCGTAGATCGTCGAGGCTCTAGATAACAAGTGTTGGTTTTGAAACCCTAACGCTCTGTTTGGATGTAGACATTCAAGACCTGGATATTGCATTGGCTCCAATGCCTAATATCCCAAGGCATTGGTATTGAGCTGCAATGCCACACTTTGTGTTTGGATGTTCTTGTATTGGGCACTTGGAATTCAAGGGACGGAGGAATGCCAAATCTTGTTTGGATGCGCATAGTGTAGAATTGGGCATTGTGAAATGTATGAACAATATAATAATTTCTTGTACAACAACAACAAAGCCTTTAGTCCCAAACAAGTTGGGGTAGGCTAGAGGTGAAACCCATAAGATCTCGCAACCAACTCATGGCTCTGGCACATGGATAGCAAGCTTCCACGCACCCCTGTCCATAGCTAGCTCTTTGTCGATACTCCAATCCTTCAGGTCTCTCTTAACGGACTCCTCCCATGTCAAAATCGGTCGACCCCGCCCTCTCTTGACATTCTCCGCACGCTTTAGCCGTCCGCTATGCACTGGAGCTTCTGGAGGCCTGCGCTGAATATGCCCAAACCATCTCAAACGATGTTGGACAAGCTTCTCCTCAATTGGTGCTACCCCAACTCTATCTCGTATATCATCATTCCGGACTCGATCCTTCCTCGTGTGGCCACACATCCATCTCAACATACGCATCTCCGCCACACCTAACTGTTGAACATGTCGCCTTTTAATCGGCCAACACTCCGCGCCATACAACATTGCGGGTCGAATCGCCGTCCTGTAGAACTTGCCTTTTAGCTTTTGTGGCACTCTCTTGTCACAGAGAAATTAAATCTGATCATCATGCCATACATTTGAGAGATTATTGTATTATAATACAATAAAATTGCATGCAAATAAAATACAAGAAAAATTGGCTGAAAAGTGTACATAGGCAACATGAACATATTATCATGCACTGGACAAGTTCCAACTCCTCAAAAACATGAAAAATAGGCTGAAAACTGTACATTACAGTAGTATACAGCAGCATATTATGATGAACTTGATAACACAATCAACTGTTCAAAAACATGAAAAATTAGGCTGAAAACTATATGTAACAGCCACATATCATGATGAACTTGAGAACATCAATTTGTCCAAAAACTATCATCAACAACAACATATTATGATAACCTTGCCAACAACATTACATATTATAACATGTCTCACACCATCCAGAACACATAGCAAGTCTTGTGCATAACAATGCAACTTTAGGACAAGTTTAGAAGTCTCTCACAAACTAGGAGAAATAAGAGTAGCAACACACATACATATTATCAATCAAGAGCCATTCTACTAATTCAACATCAACAACCATTCCTTCCCGATGTTCATGGGAAGCTCAAGAAGCGCTTGGTACAAGCGTTCGCTAAGGATCAACTTACCATAAGATCGCAAGATGTCACCACGAGCTAGATCAGGGATCATCTCAAGTGTCGCAAGGATTTCAGCAGGAGGTGTAACTTGAGGCAGAGGTAAAGGCTCGAGTGACTTCAAAGCATCATGAAATGAGCCTTTCATATCCCCAAGAAGGCACAGGATGGTTGTGGCACTTCAGGAGAGGCTTCATTGGGTTCCGTAGTTGGTTCTACAACAGTTTCAGCACCAGTGACAGCGCCTTCACCATTTGCATGATCTTTTGAGTATATGGTGGTGATAGCATCCCAATTCTTAATGACCCTGTTCTTGTAAAATCCTACTTTCTTGTTAGCCTGCACACACACACACACAAAAAAAAGAGAGAATTGTCAAACAAAGGTAGATCTTACATATGTACAATATAATCAAAATGTGGAAAGGATAAGTTTCTTACCACGACATATTTAAGCCACACATCTTCACTATCAATTGACAGCTTGTTATTGACCCAATCCCACCCAAATCCACTTTGAGATAGCATCTTGCTAATGGCCTCGTAGTGCTTTTCAAAGGTTTTGCACCTTGAACTGATGTTTTCCTTTGTGATGGTCACAGAGCACTTCTCACGCACATTACCTATAACAGCACTGTAGACATGGGACTTCCATCCATTCTGGGCATGATCGCCATTGTTGTGATGCTCAACAAGGACCTCGAGTAGTGCGGTGTCCATTTCATCTGTCCATGTGAGGTAATTTCTACCAATTTTTTTCCACCTCCTTCAGCCATGGTCCTACAAGAAAATTCATGCACATAATATCCAAACACAAAGACAACATAAGGTGCATGTAAGTTGAAACACAAAGACAGCAAGGTAATGTCACACACACACACACACACACACACACACACACACATATTAATTTCATAATATGAGGCATGTACAGAATACCCAAAAGGCACACATTCCACCAAAGTCATATCAAGGTTGATCCACACATCCCACCAAAGTCATATCAACTAGCTAGCACAAAAGAGAACACCATTATCTAGTCGACCCGCACATCCTACTCCAACTCTAGTTCAGCATGTCTCACGAGGTACTCGTCAAACATGTCATTAGCTAGCTGCTCTCTAAAGTTGGTCCATGAAGTGCTGACTTGAACACTCCTAATTAAGTTAGCATCATCTAGAGGATCATCTTCGGAAGAGGATCATCCACACATCTCTAAAGCTGAACCCTCCCAGCCAGGCAAGACATACATAAATTTCATATTCCAATCAACCACACCAAGCATGTTAGTGCTGATAGCTTGCTTCCTGTTCCTATATCTCCCTTGGTCACACACGGGCACACAAACATCAACATGACACCCATCTAGCGCTCCAAGTGCATTGCCAAACCACTTCCATTTGTAATCATCAGGTGGCTGAGTAGAAGGATCAGGAAGCTTAATGAACTCCGCGGTTAGAGATAGAATCGCTGTTAATACATTGTCAAAGTGGGTACTAATAGTCCATAAGGAGCGCTTGTAAGTGCCACGCAGAATCCTCATTTTGATACCATGGCCAACTACCAACAAGAACATTGCCACCTTTTCTTCCACGAAAACATAGACACTGTCATGAAGACCAGCCCTCTCACGCAACATGGTGCATAAGTCATGGAAGTTTCTTTTAGTTAAACGCAACTGATCATAGCATGTTACTTCTGCCCCATCATACATTCCTTTTAGCAAATACTTCCGATGAATGTTCTTTTCCTCATCGTCACTAAAACTCCCTAAATCCCTTGGTGCCCTCCTCGTACTAAGATATGCTATCCCAAGAAGAAACGATTCAAAGTACAGTTTGGTCAAAACTATCCGTCTCCTTTTCTTCTTTTGTTCTCCTCGTTTATGTAAGCAACCAAGTCCATGTCAGACATGGTGCAGCTACATTACATTTCACAAATTAGACATTCATGCCTCATTCAATCACACAAGTAAATATACAAAGACATGGTACAACAAGCATTTCAAAAATTATGCTACGGCTAGCTATTAAGGACAAGTCATCAATCAGCCATACGACATAAGCAAGCAAGATACAATCAGGCATATAAGACAAGCTATCAAAAATTGTTGTAGTAATTTATGCTACAACAAGCTATCAAAATTTCAGCAAGCATTCAGTCATTTAAGACAGGGCACAACAAGCATTCACTATATTGTCAAATGCTGATTCTAGTTCTCTTCACCACATGAATGCATGGCCAAACAAAACTTATTTTTTCCTTACTGATAGCAAAAATTATCTTTGAACATACCTTCAGTTGGTCTACAGGGATGTGCCAATCCAAAACAAATAACCTGCAGCAGAGTTAATTTAAGACAGATTAGTATCTTAGTATGCAAACATATTGGGGAGGAGGGACGAACTGTGATGGGGAAGAGGGGGAGCAGCCATCAGATCTGAATGGGAGGGAGGGGAGGTCATGGGATTAGGGTTGAGTAGGAGAGGGAGAAGGACAGATGGGGGGTGGTAGATGGACGGAGCTACCGCTGGTAGGGATGGGAGAGGGACAATCCAAGGGACGGGTCGCCGGCGGCCATCGGACCTGAAAGGGCTGGGGAGATTGGGGAGGGCAGGGGGAGATGAAGCACGAGGAGAAGGCCTACCGGAGCTAGGGGAGAAGGAGGAGGAGGAGCGGGAGATGGAGGAGACCTGCCGGAGATGGGAAAGGAGGAGGACGGCGGCGGGAGATGAGCACCCACCTGCGCCGCCGCTGTTCTCCCGCGCCGCTTCTCCTGCGGCCTGTGTTCTCTGTTTTCGGGGGAGGAACGGGGAGGGTTGAAGAGGTAAGCGAGCCAGACTGGGCAATTTCAGCCGAAAACAGAGCGGGGAGGCAAGGTATTCGCGCGGGCACTCGCTAGTCTTGGCGCGCTGTGTCCAATATCAGGCTACGATGCCACGACCGAATACCCAGTGCATCCAAACGCTGGCATTCGGGAGCTACAAATGCCAAATGCCAATATTACCTCCCAATCCATACATCCAAACATAGCGTAACTTGTAAACTCCAGTAGCCAAAGCAACATATGTGCAAGCTAACCTCACAAGCAGCCAAGCAGGCAGCTTAATTGATAGTAGCTAGCTAGCTCGTACTTGCCGGCGACTTGTATTACACAGGATCGATTTGATCTTTGGTAGGACGTAGCGACTTCTTCCAATAGAACGAACACAAAAACGAATCGATGTGATGGCCACAGGTGCGTGTCGCACCTGTTGAATACTTTGTATTGCTTTTCTCTTCTCTAATTTTCTGGTTACAAGGAGCACCCCTGGGGTGCTTTTTATACACGTCCATAAGGGACTATGGAAATAGACTAGGACTAGGAATCCTAATACTACTAGGACTCGCACTTACTCTTTTTCCTAATCCTACGTGTACTGAGGCAACGTGGTTAACTTCTACACTCGGAGGGGTATGGTGGATAGCTAAATTTGTTCGGAGGGATGTACGAGTGGCAGATCGGAATGGCTACACACAAGACACAAGGATTTGCCCAGGTTCGGGCCCTCTCTGATCTCTAGCCAGCACAAGCAATACAACTCTCAGTAGACAACACAAGGATCTCATCAATGGCTCAAAAACCTTGCACGGTACATACCAAAGTATTAGTCAACACTCGAGACAACATAAAACAGCTCCTACATACACAACATAAAAAGAGCCACTAGCTATAATATAAAACAACCAATACCTTGAGGCAAAGAGACATTTTTCCAATAGCCCCTACTCATGATTGTGGCATGAGTTAACTTTCCTTTCTTTGTTCTTGTGTGCTTGCATTCTTCCCAAGCATCACTACAAACCATTGCTCTTAATTCCTTCTTAGCAACCGAACTTTGCAAAGTAACAAATGCTGAAGCAAATCTTGTCACTCCTGGTCTCACAATGTCTCTCTCTTTTGTATAAGACCTTGTCAAGGACAATGTTTTATGATGTGCATAAAGGAAAATAATCAGCTCCTTTGATTTAGTGATTCTAACACCAAACTTTTCAGACGATGTTGGACAAGCTTCTCTTCAATCGGCGCTACCCCAACTCTATCTCGTATATCATCATTCCGGACTCGGTCCTTGTGTGGCCACACATCCATCTCAACATGCACATCTCTGCCACACCTAACTGTTGAACATGTCACCTTTTAGTCAGCCAACACTCAGCGCCATACAACATAGAGGGTCAAACTGCCGTCCTATGGAACTTGCCTTTTAGCTTTTGTGGCACTCTCTTGTCATAGAGAATGCCAAAAGCTTGGTGCCACTTCATCCATCCAGCTTTGATTCGACGATTCACATCTTCATCGATATCCCCATCCTTTTGCAGCATAGACCCCAAATATCTAAAGGTGTACTTCTGAGGCACCACCTGCCCATCAAGGCTGACCTCCTCCTCCTCCTCGTGGAAGCAATTCAACATTGAATTGAAATTTTCTAGCACTGCCCATGGACAAATGGAAGTGGTGAACAAGTTTTTGGGTAATCTGATCCGTTGCATTGGTGGAGAAAGAAAGGGGCAATGGGATTTGGCTTTATCTCCTGCAGAGTTCTACAATAACTCCAAGCATAGGTCCACAGGAAGGAGGCCTTTTTCCATTGTCTAAACTAAATTTCCAACATATGTGGTGGACCTGGTGAAGCTACCATCAAGGGGAAACTCAAAATCAGCATTGTCCTTTGCTGATAATTACACTGAGTTATTTGAAGAGATTTGTGGTGTTTTGGAAGCACAAAATCAGAAATATAAACAACTTGCTGATTGCAAAAGGAGGCCAAAATCATTCCAAGTTGGTGATAAGGTGATGGTCTACCTCCGAAAAGAGAGGCTGCCTTTAGGTGTTAAAAGGGAAGCTTAGGCAGCGAAGGTATGGGTCCTTCTCTACCATGAGGAAGATAAATGATAATGCCTATGTGATAGATCTTCCAGGCGACATGGGCAGATCTTCCAAGCGACATGGGCATATCCAACACTTTCAATGTTGCGGACTTGACTCTCTACCATCCAGAAGAAGTGCTCTATGAAGATAACTCGAGGGCGAGTTCCAAACAACCCGGGGAGAATGATGAGGAACAATAGACGAGAAAAATAGAAAAAGGAAACCACATGCTAGATCTGTTTGGCTACTTCTAGATACTTCCACTCTAGTGTAGTATTTCTTCTCTACCCTACCTACTGTTTTCTAGAGTCGTCTAGTTGTGAGTAGCTATGAGTATAATGGTGAATCTTAAGTAATGTTTTCCGGAGTGTTCTAGCCATAACTAGAAGTATGTGAAGACTACCCAAAGCCCTATAAATAGAGGTCGTCACCTCTAGTTTGTACCCAGATGATGTACCCCCACTATCTATAATATATCTTGGTGTTCTTATCTAAGATCTTGGAGTAGATCTTGTGCTCTAGGAGTTCTGGATTGAACTCCTGCTGCCATATTGGCCTACATTCGCCTCTAGAATGATATCTAGCGCAACACGTTGAAGTAGTTCCTTCAACTCTAGTGCTGTACACTTTGTAGCAGCAAGGTGGAGTTGCTCCTCCACAACCTTGTGCTGCTTCACCACCATGCAACTTTTTACTTGACGTTTCACTTGACCAACATGTTGCTTCAATCTGCTTATCCTAATACTGATCTCCTTTCCACACAACCTGCATTTCACCCTCTGTAGATCATCAGGATCATACAAGACTCCAAACTTCCGCCCCATGTCATCTGAAATTTTCTTTTAAATGTTGGAGCACTTGCTGCAGTTGAAGCAACCATAGATTGCTACAAAAATGAATGTTGCATACATATCAGTACACATACCAATCTACAAGTATGTAAAATAAGAATACATCTATATGTTGTTCTACATACATATCAGTACACATGCCAATCTACAGATCTACATGCAAATAAATATATGACTTGCACATCTATATAGATTATAGAATAGCAACAGCAGCAGCAAGCCAGCAACATGGAGCATAAATCAGCAAGCTCATTTATATATGACCTGACAACATTGCCTGTACATGCAAGCAGAGCAGTGAGGAATAGCAACAACTCAATTTCTGCAGCAAACTAGCAACACCTCACAGTGGTGGGAGGCTACAAAGCATGGATACGGCAGAAACTGCCGAATTGCCGTCCTAGTACTGGGGGATACGGGGACACACGCGGATACGCCGGGATACACGTATCCCGCAGTATCCCATCTTTTCCTAATTAAAAAAAGGCGGAAAGAAATCTGGATACGGCAGATACGGTGTGGACACGGTGGGGACTCGGGAGCCAGCCTCGCCGCCGCAGCCTAGGCTTGAGGCTGCAGCCGCCTGGACTCGCTTCTCTGGTCGCCGGCTCGCCGCCGCCGTTTCCCCAAGCCCAGCTCTTCCCCCGACGAAGAACGTCCATCCAGCAGAGAGGAAGATGGCAAGGCGTTCGAGGACAAGGAAGAAGGACCGGGCAGGGAGAAAGATGGGGACTGCAGCCAGCAGCGAGGAAGAAGATATAAGTGGCGGCGCAATCTTTTTTCTGCTCTCTGCAGCTCTCAGGCGGCTGGAGGAAACAAGAAGAGAAGGGCTAAAGGAGCTGACTAGTCTAGGGTTTCAGGAACTGGACCTTATATGGGCCCTGAGTGGAGAGCTACATGGGTCTGAGTGGAGGGTTCGTATGGGACTATGGGCTGCCCCAAAGTCTTTTATCAATAGAAATGAGGCAACATATATCCAGTAATTCCTTTACAAAAAACATATATCCAGTACAAAATCTCTGATAAAAAATTATCATTAAATCTTTATTACATGCTGTTATTTTTTTCTATATATTGATATACCCTGCCGTATCCCCGAATGGCTGTTTTCGAAAAATGCCGTATCCCGTGTCCCCGTATGTGCGTATCCCCGTCTTTCCGTCCCCGTGTCCGTGCTTTTTAGGTGGGAGGAGCAGCAACATACCTTGCTGCTGGACGCCATGGACAGTGCAACGGTGGAGGTGAAGGTGACCTTCATTGGCTTTGGCTGCAGTACTGCAGCAGAGACAGCAGCGTCCGAGGTGAGGGGCAGTGCCGCCGGCTGGTTGGGTGGGGGAGGTGAGCTCGAGCT